TATAGCGCTTTACTAGTCCCTAAGGACCCCAAAGCGCTTTACATATCCAGTCATCCACACATTCACACACTGGTGATGGCAGCTACATTGTAGCCACAGCCGCCCTGGGGACTGACAGAGGCGAGGCTGCCGGACACTGGCACCGGGCCCTCTGACCACCACCAGTAGGCAACGGGTGAAGTGTCTTACTCAAGGACACAACGACCGAGACTGTCGGAGCCGGGGCTCAAACCGGCAACCTTCTGATTACAAGACATACGCCCAACTCTTGAGCCACGATTGCCCCCAGGTATTGCCTGGACGTTTTTTGCTGCTTTCCCTTCCGTTCTCTGTAAAAAGCCGGTGTGCTCTGGCTTTCTTATGTTTTCCAAGTATGTGCATGGAAGGGCAGTGAAGTCCCAGAACAAAGTACTTTTGTAGTTAAAAATACTTCTGAACCGAGCTGGTTTGAGGTGCAGTCTTCTGTTCTGTCTCGCTTGTTTACAACTTCCCATCAAAGAGAGAGGAGAGCTGTTGCTTTTTTCATGCTTTTTCATATTCTCGTATTTCTGGTAGTGTTTAATTGTCAGGTTGACTAAACATGAACAACCCCACCTGTGAACATCAGCTTTGATAACAAAGGACATTTTTCATGGTCAGACAACTGAATATGAGCAAAACTGCAGGACTTGTGGTATGATGTGGTGAGTGCCAACCACTAGTGGTGATGATTACAGTTATTACGATGATGCTTATGCTGATGATGATGATGATGATGATGAGATATTGTCTTGTCTGGGCCAGGGAAGACTGGGCACAAGAAACAAAAATATTTAAGCACAACTAAATAGTAAATATGTAACGTACAGTACATACATATACCATACATTTAACATACCATTACAGCAACAAAATAATACAATATGCAATCATCTTCATTTACATTTTATTTGGGATTTATTTTATGAACTACAACTACACAAGACTCCTTCAGTCTATCATATTCATCGTATCCTGTTGAACAGTTACAGTTTGTATTCCCTGTTCTAGATCATATCTGGAACAAGGAAATTCATACGTCCGCATATGTCATATGCAACCACAGTCAGCCATAGGCTGATTAATGCAGTTTGTCAAGGGGCTGCTCAGCTACAGTCTTGGTGAGATGTTTAACGGCAGAACAGTTCTGACATTAATGGCTGAGTCGCAAAACAGTAAAAATAGAACACCTCCTCGTGACTAGAAAATATCAGTGGTTGCCAGTCATTGCAAATAGTCGCAATCACCAATTTCAATAACACACAATTCTGAAATCCCCGTCCCACTCATGCTATTTAGCCAAATGTGCCATATAACCTCAGTATTTAATATAAGTATGTCAATTATAATGGAAAAAAAAACCCAACAACAAATAAATATTCTACTATAGTAGATTCCTACATGACAAATTTAGAAAACAGTCTGCTTTTGTGTCAGACTGTGCATCACCCACATCTGCAGATCTTTGTAGAGGCGGGGAGGAGCCCCTCTTCATTTGCTGCGATCAGCTGCATACAGTTGATATGTGAAAATGACCCAGGTCTGTTACATGTTCTATTGCAGGTTCTAACTTGTAGGCAAAGTTCATCCAGTTCATTTCTACTTCACTTCTATATGAACTTTTTGGCTTAATGAAAAGTTGGAATGGAATAAATTGTGCTCATGCAGAAAACAGAATTAAACTCTAATCTATAGTTTTTCCCTAATTCATTCTAAATATGGTGGAAAATGAGCAAAAATCAGCATTTGGATGAATTTCAGCACACCCTGTATCTTTATCTTCTCAGTGGCTCCATTCTGTTAAACCAAAAGTCCTTCCACATTTGATTTTTGGGAAGTACACAAAACTGCAGGGAGCCGAATCTAGCAAGTGATCCAAGTGGTGAGGAAAGATTATGTTTGTGTGTCCAGAAATCTCTCGTGTTTTCAATGCATTTAGAATCAGCACAAGATGGCACTATCACACACTTCAAATTGTTTGCCCCAAATGACACAGGAAAAACCTTAATTTTGAAAGTTACAACCAGGCTTGAAAAATGTACACGGCACAGCTGATACATGTTGGGAAAAAAAACACAAAGGCAAACATGGCCTTTGCCTGACTCCTCCATTGCTGCTGTGCCTTCCCTAAAACTGCTGAAGATTGCTTAGCTGTGGAAAGAGCCCCAGCTCTCATTAGCAGTGGCGATTCTCCATCCTAAATTTGAGTTGGTTTAAAAGAGTATTCTTTCTGATTTGAGGTTAAATGACAATAAACACTGTAAGTGGTCAGAATCGGACTTCCATCTAAAATTAGCTTCTCCATCAACTCATCGTCGGTTTTGCTACAATGAAAAAGTTTAGCTTGTTTTACAGATGTGAATTCCCTTATTTGTGATGTTACTTACTTACCTGCACCAATCAGAATTCATTAATCTCCTGAATTAAATACGATGACGGCGTCTCTTTTCCCAGTATGCCTGGCTGCTCTCAATCACAAATCTCTTATCACAAAGCAGAAGCAGGTGAACATAATGCCTTTAAACATAAAGTCATATTTGCAGGAGCAATAATTCATTTGATCTTGATAATATGTGACCATAAAAAAGATGATTTGTATTCCTGCCGTATTCTGCTTGGAAAAAGAACAAAAAATTAGCAAGTTGGAGCCTAACAATGGAGATGTCCGCACTTACCAACCACATTTTTACAGGAGTCAAAAACTGTTAGTGTAAAAAAACCGCCAAGAGCCCCGACTGTTTTTTGATGCATTTTAATACATGGAAGGGGAGCAACATTTAAGCTTGAAGCTGGTTCAATCTAGCAATGTTGTGCTTCTAGGTAATCCATGTAAATAAATGTAAATTTGACATAAACACAGGAGCCCCTCACAGAGCTGTGACTCACTTTTTGTTAAAGCGTTGCAGATCTGATTTTACCATGAAGCTCAGTTTGCTCTTCAAGGCTGCTGCTTCTGTGGTTTCCCGTTACTCTGACTTTATGGATGTACAAAATAGAACCACTGTATTCCCATGAGTGACACTGATGTTACACTGTTAGTAAAATGATAACTAACAGTGATTAAAAGACATTTAGCAAATACAAATATCACACATCTTGATGCATTCTCAATCATCCAGGTAAGTAAATCTCCAAAAGTTGATTCTGTTCATCTGGACGTAGCGTTTTGTGGGAGAAACGTTTCGTC